CCCCCCCCCACCCCCCCACCCAAATTTAGCAGCATGCTGAAAATACCTTTAGTTGACCATATTCTTACACCATGCCCCTACATAATGCAACTTTTAAAATGATGCTTGAATTGGGTATTCTCATAGTAAATATTGCTGGGTATGGCCACCCTTGTCATATAATTAATGTTAAGGGTCCCATTGCAATGGTAGTCACTAGAAAAAGGCCTGCTATACATTGGTGGTCAGTGAGAGAAAAGCACCATATATTGGTATAAGTGGGAGTAGGGGCTTTTATATTGATGGTCAGTTGGAGAAAAGCCCACTAACATTGGTAGTCAGTGGGAGAAGGGCCCCATATATTTGTATAAGTGGGAGAAGTGGCCTCTATATTGGTGGTCAGTTGGATAAAGGCCCACTAACACTGGTAGTCAGTGGGAGAAGAGCCCCATATGTTGTTATAGGTGGGAGAAGTGCCCCCTTATATTGGTGCTCAGTTGGATAAAGACCCACTAACATAGCTAGTCAGTGGGAAATGGCTCCATTCATTGATATGAGTGGTAGAAAGACTGTGTATGCTGGTATAATTAGGAGGAGGACAGACTTATATTGGTGTCAGGCTGAGATGGGCCCTCTAACATTGATGGTCAGTGGGATAAGGGCCCACTTTTATAGGTGTCAGTGTTAGAAGGGCCTGCTAACATTAGTGTTGATTGGCTACTTACAGTCCCTCTAACAGGAGATGATGTGCATTCTTTTGGTAATGCTTCTTAGTTATGTTGGGGCCAAACTATGTGGTCACACCACTCTTGAAATAAAGGCAGAAGCTGGCCAGGATCTTTTTATTTACTAAAAGTACCCTGATCAGCATGTGGCATCAAAGGTCCTGGGGCCCAGCCAAAGGGAGCCCTTTTTTGTAATAGGCCCAGATCTGCTGCTGCAATACAGCCTGGATTAAGATGGGTCACTCCTGTGCTGTCTCCTGCTGTAAGCATGCTCACATGTCTATTATACAAAATTAGCACCACCGTAATTGGCACAGGGTGCTATCCCTCCTGTTACCATTGTGAATACTGTTGTCCAAAGGGTTACAGAGGGCTAAAATCAAGACAGATTCCGGTACGTACATGTCTTACTTACCTTTTGCATGTACTTTACATGCAAATATATATTTTGTTATTTTTTGGTGGTAACAAAAGTATTGTTAAATGGTGTTTTATCTGCGCTTTAGCTTTCAATGCATACTGTTGGTGCCCATAGTCCAGCTTGACCATAATAGTTACAAAAAGTAGGTTTGAAAATGAATTGTATTGAACGAAACACCAATATTTGACCACTGCAGGCCTCCAGAATATCAGCACAGATATGAATATTTATATGAGATTATGTTCAGTTAGCACAACAAGAATTGTTCTAGCTTCTTAAATAACATTATTTCTACTTTCACATGCTGCTCATATAGGATGAGAATGAATGTACAATCTGTCTTCATGAAATCAGCAGGTGCAGTATCAGCTATACTGATCACTTTGTGGTTTCACTTACTGCTTTGTGGTTTCCCATACTGTTAAATGTGAATAACTGTTCATATCTCCTGCTAGTATTATTTGTCTTCAGACTAATATCACTCATGTATACACAAGAGCTCAAAATACAATTTAAATAACCATATGTATCATTTTTTATCTCAAATATCTATGCACATGGGGCTGATGTATAACAGTACTGGATCTTACATTGGACTTTCAGTACAGACCTCTTCTCTCTGTACTTATGAAGTGTCAGCATGTGGGATGGTCCAGGGCATTGAAGTGCATATATGAAATTTGAAGCAACATTCTCTTAAATGCTATAACTGCACTGCACTGTCACAGAACCTGATCCCCTTCCTGCTAACCATCCTGTTATCCTGTGTTCCCTTTTTTATCACAATGGGCATAAATGATACCCTTGTTTCGACATATAGTAACAATTATTTCATGCCATTGTGTATTCCTTTATAAATAACATATTTTTACATACAACTAGCATAAGCACCTGAATTTGTCTTCAGATTGAAAAGGAAGAGCAGCGCTAGGAGTCAATCAGGCTTTGCTGCATGCACATGCACTGACAGGTAAGATGCTGACAGTAGGAGAGAGAAGAGTGAGAGGAGATGATGACTTATCAGTGCATTGCGGATCCTTAATTGTCTAATCAGCAGGCACTGTTGACACAGATGTATTCCTTAACTGTTAGAGATAACGTGACATCACCCTTCTGACTGTACTGTCTGGCAGGGATGTATATTAGGGATGCACCGATACCGATACTAGTGCCGATGCCGAGTATTTGGGCAAGTACTCGCCCAAATGCTCTGATGAATAGCCCGATACTTGAACTTCTGGTATCAGGAAGCCGGACAGGGAGTCATTACACATTATATTAAACAAAAGACACTGCGCTATCTCTAATATTATAAAACTCTAAGTGCATATACTTAGTGACAATTATACAAAATGTTCACTCCAACTTATATACAGTCCATATGAAATTATTCCCAAAACTGATATGATCAAAAATGAATGTGATGAAATCCTTGTGTTCACTTTCTTTACATCAGTGAGTCAAATAATCATTGCATATAAAGTTCCACAATCACTCGTGACTTCTGTGCTTCAATTCCTCGTCAATTAATCACCAGTGATCCACCTCCAGGTGCACAAACACTAGCGCACTCACCAGATCATTCTGACCACCCAGTGGTCTTCAAACGCTCTGCAAACTTCCCTGGCGTCCGATGTCTCCCTCACCACCGAATCACCAACAGCTGAAAATGATGAGTCCGCCTGATGTCTCTCCCAAATCTCTCTTATCCGCTCACAATAAAACACCAAGATGGCACATAGTGTAAAACTGCTAGAGTAGTCTTTACATGCTGCCTGGCTTCCTTAATGGTGTCAGTATTGGTGAGTACCAAAAAAAAATATCAGTACTCGTACTCGATACCGAAAAAACGGTATCGGTGAATCCCTAGTGTGAATGTTACAAAAGTGCACAAAAATTCTCAGTTGGCATGTGTGTTTCAACTGTGTATTGACTGGTTTTCAGCTTTAGAGTATTAACCCAAGTACAATAATGAAATACATTGTAGCTTACCAGCCTCTTCAGCCAGCCTTTTTCAGGCTTTCTTTCCTTTACTTTCACCGGGTAATCCTGCAAGTAACACACTTCCTGTCCCAGGATGACAACACTCACTGCACTGTTCTACAGAGGAACAGCATTGTCACCCTAGTACAGAATGTGTGTTAGGACAACAGACCATCTTCCCCTCTCCTTATCCCTATAACATAAGGAGGAGGTGTTCTGTATTTCATCTCAGACAGGGCTCGTGAGAATGTCTGGAATTTTACTGCAGCATTGAGAGGCCACTACAGGGAGTTAGAAGCTTATCGGATTTCTGGCAGGATTGACAGGTTTTGTTTTGCAGTTATCAAACAGATATAGCAAAACACTTTTAATGTTTTCAGTATGGTTAGAAGATCAAAAGGGAGCAAATAAGAGAAGTTGATTGTTAGGATTGGTGAATACTCCGCTGCACAGCATACCGTCTTGAACAAGGTACATACAGAAAGACATGAGTGACATAAGAAGAAATGACAAGTGAGCATATCACAGGACGCCTGCTAGAAAGAGACAGAAAGGAGGAAGAGTACACGGAGTGAAAAGATGCAGTACCTCTGAGACACGTTACTTTAACAGGATCCAGAGGACGTCTTTCAGGACCAGTGTCTCCTGACTGCACTGACCTTTTCCTTTTCCCAAGGCCACATGAATATTTAAGCTCATCTGTTGAGAACACAAATCGGATGAGGTATCGCAGGAGCCGCCTTCCATCTTTCTTGGAGGAGTTCACGGCCTCATCCCATTGTTTACTAGTGATGTATACCGGGTAGTTGTTCAGAAGCTGTTTGCTGCCCTGTAGAAGTGACAGAAATAGCAGATGGGTGACATTAGAAAAGCAATAAAAGAGGTTTCTTACTTTACCGAAACATGATATTAGTATTAGTATTCTCATTGTAGATTTATACACTCACTGGCCACTTTATTAGGTACACCTGTTTGTTAACACAAATATCTAATCAGCCAATCACATAGCAGCAACTCAATGCATTTAGGCTTGCAGACATGATCAAGACGGCTGCTGACGTTCAAACTGACCATCAGAATGGTGAAAGAAAGGTGATTTAAGTGACTTTGGAACTCTGGCTTAAGGTGCCCATACACCTGCCAATTATCGTACGATAAACGCACGTGATCCCGCGATCGTACGATAATCGGCAGGTGTATGGGCAGCATGCGAACGCTTCTACTGTAAGGTCTCACGACTTTCGTCTTCCGAGCACGCTGGAAAACCTGCCAAAAATCGTATGATTTTCGGCGGGTTGGTGGCGTGCTCGGAAAACGAATGCCGCACGGGCCGGTGTGCGCCAGCGCACACTGCCAGCTCAGCACTGCAATCATTGGAAGCCCTCCCCTCAGCGGGGAGGGCTTGCGATGATCGCAAGTACGATCTACCTGTCCAAGATGGGCAGATCGTACGAAATTTTAATGACCTTACAACCATCGCACAACAAAAGTCGTGCGATGGTTGTAAGGTGTATGGGCAGCTTAACAGAGAGTGGTCTGAAAAAGAGAAAATATCAAGTGAGCGGCAGTTCTCTGGACGAAAATGCCTTGTTGATGCCGGAGGTCAGAGGAGAATGGGCAGACTGGTTCAAGCTGATAGAAAGGCAACAGTAACTCAAACAACTACTTGTTACAACTGAGATATGCAGAAGAGCATCTCTGAACGCACAACATGTTGAACCTTGAAGCAGACAGGCTACAGCAGCAGAAGACCACGCCGGATGCCACTTCTGTCAGCTAAGAGTGTAAATTTCTGCTGCGACATTCATATGGTTGGGTCCGAATTTGGTGTAAACAACATGAAAGCATGGATCCATTCTGCCTTGTATCAATGGTTCAGGCTGGTGGTGTAATGGTGTGGGGGAAATTTTCTTGGCACACTTTGAGCCCCTTAGTACCAACTGAGCATTGTTAGAATGCCATAGCCAACCTGAGTATTGTTGCTGGCCATGTCTATCCCTTTATGACCACAGGGTACCCATCTTCTGATTATCTAAATCCAATGCAGCACCTTCAGGATGTGGTGGAGCAGGTGATTCGGATCATGAATGTGCAGCTGACAAATCTGCAGCAACTGTGTGATGCTATCATGTCAATATGGACCTAACTTTCTAAAGAAATAAGAATGAAGGCAATTCTGAAGACGGGTCCAGCCCGGTACTAGCAAGTTGTACCTAAAAAGTGGCCAGTGAGTTTATAGCGCCAAGTTTGCTAGGGTGGATTTACACCATCAACCGCATGGGAGAGAAAGTGCAGATACACCAATGCAGGATTGACACCACATGCCGTTTTGAGGACTAAAATTGCAAGACTTGGGGGCTGATATATAAATCTGTCTACCATCCTATAGCTGTGCTAATGCTGTTTGCACAGCACTACCTCCCCTGGATGGCACTGAGGAGTATAGGAATTTCCTATACTCCTCAGTGCCATCTAATTGGCCAACATAGCCATAAATCAGCCCGGCCCAGTTGTCTGTTGTTAAACTACTGATTCCCACACAGGACAGCTCTAAATTTCTTGACACAATCAACAGGTTTTGTTTTTTTTTTTTTACAAACAGATATACCAAAATACTTTCAGTGGTTTATTTACCAGAACAAAAGGCAGCAAATAATAGAAGTTTATTATTAAGGTTTACATACACTTTAATGTGTATGGGTAGGTTACAGCATAGAAGGCGCAGCCAGGTCCACACACAACTCCTCATAGCTAGAAAATGTTAATATAATATACCAGGAAACATCTAATCTCTGTACATTTACTGTAAATGTGTCTTTTACCTTATTTGACAATTATTTGACAATCCATTATAACCCCCACAGATCTGGCAGTAGAGGTTTCAAGATTTCAGAGAGCAAATGGACAATTTGTCCTAAACAAGACACCTGCACAGGCTCACATCCTTCCCCCTTCTTCTCACATGTGAACCTGAGGTAATTACACCTAATGGCATATGGGTGAAATAGTAGACTCTGTGTAGCTAGGTGAATGTAGGTCCTGAAGTGGGCTGAGGCGCATGGGCTAAGAAACCGCTTGGGGTTCACCATAGCACCTCGCAAGGTTGTGGTCCTGCAAGGTCATGGTTAAACAGACGGACAACAGGGATCGTTGAAAAACAGGCAAAGATCTTTAACAGGTATCTGAAAGTGGCACAAGGGTTATAGGAACAGCAGTAATCATATATACCCGGAGCGGAGACCGGGTGACACCCCGCCGTGCCGTCATCACGCATGCGCGTGACATCATCGTGGCCGACCGGTCATCTCATTGACGGCTGCCCGTGGCCATCTTCATGATGGACGCCGGCAGAGAGAGGAGGGGATGTTCACCCGGCGGGATGAGATATGCCGCCGGGTCCCCTCCTCTCTCCTAACACTGTCGGGCTCTCGGTCCATGACCGAGTGCCCGACTTTTTAGAGGGGGTGACACCAAAATGACTGTCAGTCCTTTTGGTGTCACCCCTCTAATGGTGTCATCCAGGTGCGGGCCGCACCCTTCGCACCACCCTTGTGACGCCACTGCCGGTTGGGTACAGCCTGATACTTAAGGATCTTAGACTTGACAAAGGGTTACTGGCAGGTCTCTCTGCCTGATAATACTAAAGGGGAAACATTTATTTGTAACTCCAGAGGGCTTCCTTCAGTACAGGGTAATGCCCTTGGGCTTACAAAATGCTCAGTGTGCAGAGTGCAATAATTCTAGGGCCATTATTCATGGTTAACTCTAAATGTATAACTGCAAAAGCTTTTGGTTACAGACATTTTTCAAGTTTCACAGGCGCACACTATTCTGAGGCCTTACATGTTAGGTAACTACGGTATATACTAAATACAACCTTATCTTCTATATGTTACCAAAACTGCCACCATTATAATTAGGGATGCACCGATACCGGTTTTTCGCCGATACCTAGTACCGATACTGGAAGTCCCTTTAAGGAAGCCGTGCAGCTTCCTGATTAGCCGGGCTGTGTGTGATGACTCGCCGCCAGGCTTCCCGATTAGCCGGGAAGTCGTCTCCATGCTCCCTGTCAGCATGGAGCCGGCTTTCTGGCCAATCAGGAAGCTGAGCGGCGAGTCATTACAGGAAGCTGAGCCGCCTCCATGCTCCCTGGCTCTCTGGTGACGAGGGAGCATGAAGCCGGCTTCCTGGCCAATTAGGAAGCCAGCAGTGTGTAATGACTCGCTGCCCGGCTTCCTGATACCGGTATTAGGATAGGCATCGGGAGCAAGTACACGCCTAAATACTTGGTATCGGCACCAATACAGATACTAGTATTGGTGCACCCCTAATTATAATTATATAATTTTGGGGGGTTTAAGTAATCTTCCAGCCTAAAATGTGCATTTTACCATGTGTGCCAAAAAAACTTTCTTTTTTTAACTGAAATTTTGGGTTTGTAAAACAGTTACACTAATATCATGTGAGATTTAAAAAAAAATGCAATTGCTCCATTTTTATCGTAGAGGTTCTCTGCTTTAAAAACATATATATCTTGTGGGGGTTTAAGTAATCTCCAGGCCTAAAATGTGAATTTTACCATCTGTGAAAAAAATACATTATATATATCTCTCTATACATATATAGAGAGAGAGATATATATATATATATACATATATAGATAAATGATATTCCATTTACTTTGCTGCATTCTTTTTTGAAGGGTAGGGGAGGGGAAGAAATGGCAGTTCAAATAGACTCTCTCTATGTGTAAAGTGGCGTTACATGCTGCCAGTTCAAAGTCATGTGATGAACTGCCTTTAGCTTTGACTACAGAACACATTCACCGTAGCATTGTTTCGATAAGCTTATACAATGTCACAACATTTATTTCTGTTCATAGTTGCTTTAATTTTTCAGCAAGATCTTGTAGTGATGATGGGAGAGTCGCACCACTGCGTACAGTCTTCTCCAGCACATCCCAAAGATTCTGAATGGGGTTAAGGTCTGGACTCTGTGATGACCAATCCATGTATGTAAATGATGTCTAATTCTCCCTGAACCATTCTTTCACAATTTGAGCCCGATGAATCCTGGCATTGTCATCTTGGAATATGCCCAATGTGCCATCAGGGAAGAAAAAAACCCATTGATGGAAAAACCTGGTCATTCAGTATATTCAGGTAGGTAGCTGACCTCATTTTTTGGGGGACATAACATTGCTGAATCTAGACCTGACCAACTGTAGCAACCCCGGATCATAACACTTATCCAGTGGAAGGCTTTTACCTATGTGCTTAGCTAAATCCAGGTGGTGACTTTTTTTTTTGTGGCCAGGCAGTGTCAAATTCAGTTTAGAGGGATGGGGTGAAGATTTAGGGAATGTCAGGAGACCGTTTACATGAAAGGGGGAGTGTGATTCCACTATGGCAGTAGGCAGAGGGGCTGTCATAACTGAAGTGTCTGGTTGTAGTAGCCCTGTACGTGGGAAGGTACAATGTATATGTGTGCCTTGAGCTAGTCATCAGTTAAATGGCCATGTGCGCATATGCAAATTATATACAAAAACATAAAATTGCAAGAAAGACTGCTTTCCTCAAATGTCAAAATAAGAAGTAACGTGCTACACATAATTTTATTATGGTGGAAATGTTTTATTTATACAGCCATCTGCTAATAATAATAATAAGGGTGTGCCTGGAACAGCATTACTGGATAAATAACCCTCATTTCTCCTCTGTGCATAGCAAAGAATGCTGAATTGAAGCAGGAAAGGGTTAACTGAGGAAAAGCTTGCAAGGGGATGTATTAATTAATTAGAGGGTAAGATGCTGGAAATGTTGCTTA